AAAAAAAAAAAAAAAAAAAAAAAATGCTGCATGAGCTCAGAATAGCCTTGTCCCCCATGGAGTCCCAGAGTAAGCCAGGCTAATCTGGGGTCTCTGTCCCCTGCAGCTGGGATGTGGAGGTAGGCAGAGTGTTCTTAGCTCTGCAGAGCCCATCAGTAACCCCAAAGCTGAACAAAACAGCAGTGCGTGAGAAGCCCTGGTTGATGGGCACCAATCGGATACCAGGCTCCCTGGCACCTCCTACCCAGCCCAGAGCCCTGCTCCCTGCTGGCTTCTCTCCTTCTCCCAGGACTGGGCAGAAAGGTCTAGGCATGGGACGCAGTGGCCTCATGGTCCCTTCTTTGGAAACCATGAGGCTTGGCGCAGGCTGAGAGGGTTGGGGTGGAAGACTGAAACATCACACGGCTGGAATGTGCTCAGCCCCACTGCCTGACTCAATGGCAGCTCCAAAGCTCCGTCTTCCAGAGGCACTGTCCCCTCTCCACAGAAAAAGCCAACATTTTTGGAGTGATCTCTGCGTGCCTGCACCTGGGCTGAGCTCTTCTGTGCCTAACCCCAGTGATTTCTCCCCACAGCCTGGTGAAAGAGCCTATGACCACTTCTGCCTGTTCTACCTACAGGTGGGGAAACTGCAGCTCAGAGAGGCTCCCTCCTATACACGCACAGGTGATCTCAGCTTAGAGGCGGCAGAGCCAGTACCCAAAGTCAGGTCCAACATTGTAAAGCATAGCACCTTGCTGAGTCTACACTGCTTTCCATCCTCAGTGCCCATGACCCTCTGAATCTGGAGCTCCTCAGCCCCTGTGTAGCTGAGCGGAGCAGTTCTCCAGGGCTCAGTGCAGGGCCTCTCTGTTTCCTTTGCAAGCGGAGGCTACAGAGGAACCAAGCAGGGAGAGACTCTGGAAGGTTTAGGGGACCACACTTTGGGGGACTTCACATGATCTAGACCCTGTTAGCCCCGGAGGTAAAGTTCTAGAACTTGGAGGGTGGCAGCTGGCCCATAACTGACTTCTGGGTAGGATCTTGGGTCCCCAGTCTCTAGACAGGGATAGAAAGAAGGAGGAAGGGGGGAAGGCAGGCGGGCGGGCAGGAAGAGAGGCTATGTGATGGGGCACCTGTAGGCCTGCTCGCCAGGGCCGTCTCCCTTTGTTGTCTGCTCTGCAGAGCTCTGCTCCCTTGCCCCTCACCTGAGAGTCTGAGATCTCCGAGGGCTTCTCAGTCAGACTGCTGCTCTCTGCCGGGATGAGGTCATTATACTTGGTGACATCCTCATCAGAGTAGTGGAGGCTTCCAGGGCTGGGCCGCGGAGGAGACCTGCAGAGAGCAGGCCAGTGAGGCCGAGAGGGGACTCACATGGGGCCGCCTCTCTCAGCCAGGGACAGGACAGTGGGGCTGGAGGAACACAGGGCACGGGGCCCGTCCATTTGGGTTCCTCCTCATTCTTGTACCATGTTCCACGGGCTTGGGCTGCGGGGAAGATCGTCACTGTGGCCAGTTAGGTTAGTTTGGTGTGAACGAGATTCCTGAGTATCACAGGGGCCTCAATGTGTATGTACCGTGGGCTGGAAAGGCGGGGAGGGCTGGGGAAGGTGAAGCCGTCGGTGAAATGCTCCCTTGTTCCATGCGGCAGACCCTGGAGCCAGCCTGGCGGGTCTGCTGCAGCCAGGCTGGGCCTGCTGGACCCGCCACCCCAGCCTCAAACAGCTTTCGCCAGCAGGCTGGGTTTGGCGAGGGATGAGAGCCTGCCAGCCCCTCCCTTCGCCCTCCCTGTGTGCACACACAGGGTTTCCACCCTCCGAGACAAGAGACAGAGAGAAGCTTTGTGAGCTCCCAGAGAGAGGCTGGCTTCCCTCCTGGCTGCCTCCGACGGGCCTGGAATGTCAATAGGGCTGAGGGTGAGACTGGAGCCCTGCTCTGCTAGCTGCAGCCCCTAACCTCTCTTGAACTCCCAGCAGCAGCACAAAGCTGTCACATCCTATCAATGGAGGGTCGGATGGGCCCCAGCACCACCCCTACCTCTGGCCGTGAAGGGGGTGGCTAGGAGGGGCTGGGATTGGAGAGAAATCTGGAGAAACAGAAGCTGGCGGACAGCTTCTAACTCTCCTTGCTGCTGGCAGTTTTCAGAGGCTGCAGCAGGTGGTAGGAAAGTCCCTAACAGGTACAAACAGGACCAAGGGAGAAGGTTTCCCACTGCCCTAGATGGGAGGGCATGAGCGATCGTGGGGGAGCTCCTGGGGCCTCTCACTGAGGCGTAGGTGCCAGTGTGCCCTGGCTGGGCCCATCTCTGCTCTGGGGCACGTGGCCGTCCCCAGACCTACGACTGGAGCAACTGGCTCCAAATAGCCCCAGGTTGGCTTGCAAAATTTTCCAAGTGATTTGCATTCTGCTGACGTTGGTAGAGATCCTAGTACCCACCTCCCTGTGAATTTTCCGGTGCATCCTGGGTGGGTTCAGGTGTGGGGGGCACCAGGGGAGCCCCTCATTGTACTGCTTGGGTCCTGCCATATCTTTCTGCCAGCTGTCCCCAGATCTGGAGTTTAAATGCTGTTCTCAGGACTGGGAAGGCCAAGTGGGCCCTGCCTGCTCAGTGACTCTCACCCACATCACATCTTCCTCAAGCTGGCACTGCTGGACCCCGGGACCTGGTCCCTAAGCCCCCAGCCTCTGGCCCATGCAGAAGGCTCCTACCTGGTGTACAGGCCGTTCTTCCGGCAGAAGGAGTTCTTGACGGACAGCCTCCGGTTGTTGAGTTCCAGGGCCGGGAAACTGCTTTCATCCAAGCTCATCATCTCCCCATGACCTAGGCCTCCGGACTTGGCACTGCTCCCTGGGGTGGGGCGACGGACACTCTTTAGACCTCATGGCCTCCCCCGTCCCACCTCACTCTCTCCCTTAGCCGGGCTGCCCTTATTCCCTTTGTCAGAGCTGAGACTGAAATAAGAGACTGGGATCATGTAGGAACCCAGTTCTAAGGACAGCGACCTGCCCACCCTCTGCCCTGGCCGAAGGGAGACGGGGGCAGGTCTAGTCCAGCCAGAGGGCCGGGTGCCAGCTTACTCACCGGAGTCTGTCTTCTTGGCGTACTTTTTGCTCTGGCCCCGGATGATGAGCACAAAGACCAGAAGCAGGATGAAGATGAGGCCCACGAGGGCGATGACCACCAGGAACCACCACTCCTCATAGAAGGGGTTGGCTTTCTGGGCTGTACACGGACGCAGGTGTCAGGGCCGGGGTGCTCAGTCCCTCCTGCCTCCAAACCTCCTGCTCCAGCCGGGCCTACCCTTTGCTCATGCAGTTCATGGCAGGCAGGGTCAGGGCCCTGTGAAAGACGCGAACCTATGCCAGGGTCCAAAGGGTAGTTTTGCCTCAAGCGCCAGCTCTGATCGCTTCGTAAAAGACTACCTAGAGGACTCTCTTTGTGTTTTTGTTTTGTTTTGTTTGAGACAGGTCTTGCTATGTAGTCTAGGCTGGCCTCGAAGCCATACAGATCTTCAGCCTCGGCCTCCCAAGTGCTAGGATTACAGGTCTATGCCACCACATCCAGCAAGGACTCTTCTTTTTCTGTGTGTTTTTGTTTTTTTGAGACAGGGTCTCACTATGTAGTTGAGAATGACCCGGAACTCACTATGTAGCCCAGGCTGGTCTCCAACGCACAGCGATCCTCCTGCCTCAGCCTCCCACATGCTAGGATTACAGGTCTATGCCACCACATCCAGCAAGGACTCTTCTTTTTCTGTGTGTTTTTGTTTTTTTGAGACAGGGTCTCACTATGTAGTTGAGAATGACCCGGAACTCACTATGTAGCCCAGGCTGGTCTCCAACTCACAGCGATCCTCCTGCCTCAGCCTCCCAAATGCTAGGATTACAGGTGTGCGCCACCACGCCCTGCTTCCTCTTCTGAGGAAAGGTTCTGAGGTTGCTTTTGGACTTAATGAGAAAATACTAGGATTTATTTGTTATCTCTGCCAGGGATGCAGGGCATGGAGGGCAACAGCATGCTAGCTACCTCCCTCCTCCTTGCCTAGAGAAGGTGGTCTTCATAGCAGACCCAAATGTGTGTGGGGAGAGGTGACCTCTGGCCCTGTGGGGGCCTGGGTGGGCTTTCCCCAAGGCTCAATTTGCACTGATTTTATTTTTCCTCCTGGTAGCAAAAAGCAGGGGGGATTGGAAGGGCAGGCTCAGGGGTTCTAGAAGGCCTCTGCCAGGGAGGGATCCCCTTCCCGCAAAGCCCCCAGTACTGTGCTTTCCGTACCTGCGGTACTAAACCACACTGCAGGCGAGGGGCCGGCCCTTGTACTAAACCACACTGCAGGCGAGGGGCCGGCCCTTGAATTTTACTCTTAGACTATTTCTTTCTGGGCAAAAGAGCAAGGTGTGTGGGTGGAGAGAGGAGACAGGGTCCCTGGTGCTCGTCCAGCTAGTGGAAATTCTGAGTCGTGTTTCTGCCTTGGGGAAGGGCGTCTGAATATTTGAAGTGGGCTGTGATTAGATCTGGGTCATGGGTGCAGACACTAAAGTCCTCTGAGACTCTAAGGCACGCTGGATGGGGAAAACGAGGAGAGCAGAAAGGGGGTGGAAGGGTGGGGAGCAAGCCCACCTGAGCACTGTGTACTTAGGTCTAAGAGGCCAGCCTCTTGCCCACAGGATGCTGATCCTGTTCGTTGTGGGGGCGGGGGGTGTCTTACGAGTCGGCACCTTTGAATCAACTGGGTGGGGAGCTCATGGAAACTCCCCTTGTGCATTCACTGTCCTGCCTCTACTCAGGCTGTCGGGGTCCTGAGAAGGAGACCCCAAAGCTCCAAGGCCCTCAGCTTCCTCTGGACTTAGGAGCTGATGGAGGTCTTGGCCCAGAGCTCCCTGCTTTGTGGAACCGAGAGGACAGTCCATTTTGGGGTATAGCCCACTATTCCTGTACTCTGATAACTCTCCTCTCCCCCTACCACTCGGCATTTGTCACCAGGCTCGTCCACGGGGCTCCCTTGTTCCTCATCCCACAGGCCATACCTGGCACAGACTGGGAGGGGCTGCTGGGGGTGCCAAAGCCGTAATCATTGACCGCGATGACCCGGAAGTCATAGCTCACGCCCGGCTTCAGGATGTCCATGCTGAAGGTGTAGGAGCTCACCTCCTTGGGGATGTCTTTGATGAGGATGTCCCAGAGGCCCTCGTCTGCAAAGGCACAGAGTGCAGGCAGCGGAGAGTGAGGGAAGCCCAAGTCTCTCTTCAACACAATCCCATCTGCCACTCCCAGAAGGCAGAGCCTGTCCGCCTGCAGGGCTCAGTACTCTCGTCCAGTGTTCAGCGCTTAGGCTGAGCTCACAGATCCTCCTGAAGGGGCCACTCAGTGACCAGTGAGTCCTGCAGGCCAGGGGTCCAGAGGCCCCTAACTTCTACCAGCACCCACCACGCAGCACCTCTGGCTGCACCCGCTCGGACCCATCTCTTCTTGTTGGCTCCTGAGCTCCTTCCAAAAGGAGCCACTTGCCGGAAGTGTGGCTTCCCAGCCCCAGCACACGCGTCCCTGGGCTGATGGCCTTCACCTGTCTTCCACACCACGTGTTTTCGTGAGTCAGAATGCAACCAGAGGTGCCACCACTGTCCTATGGTCATTTTATGTGGCAGGACCTGCTGACAGCTGCCTGTCCCCATCAGGGGAGACCTTGTCGGTCTGGGGAAGGCTGTGGGGGCCCATCTGTGCCCAGGGCTGTGCCCACAGAAGTGCCCAAGGTCGTAAGCCGGGGCCTCATTTGCGTCTTATGTTCTTTCCAGCATTGGCCTCTGACACATCTTCTTTGTCACTTAGTGTCCCTCTTCCTTTCTTTCCTCCTGGGCTGTGAAACCCCTCAGGGGATCACGCCTAGTTTGTCTCTGTACAAATCAGCCCCCAGCACAGACACCTTCTAGGTGTTTGCTGAATGAAGGAAGACGTTTCTTCCGTCCTTTCCACAGCTCCATGTGTCCAGTTTCAGGGCTTCATGCCCTGAAATGTACTGGGTGGGGATCCACACTCCTCAAGTGGCTTTGGGTGCTCTTTCTTACCGTGGAGTAACTGTTGTGAGGCTACTATGATGACCCCAGGGCAGGGGACACTAGTTTCTTTGTCATGCATCATGGGCCTATATCCTTTACCTCTCATATTTATAGCAGTGGCGAGGGGGAGGAGCTCTTGTCCCCATTTTACAGATGAGGAAGTCAAGGCTCAGAGAGGGCTTCACTCGTCCTTCCAAGGTCATACGACCATAAAGGGCAGAGCTGATTGTTTCTGCTCAGAGTGGTCTGAATTTGCCACTGAACTTCATCTGAGTGACCAGGACAGGGCTGTGTGCAATCAGCAGTGAACTGGTGTTTGCTAACGAGCTCGGCTCATGCAGAATCATGTTGCTGCCTTCCAGCAGCGGAGGCCTCCTGCCTGCTGTTTATCCCCCTCCATCTACCGCACACAGAGACAAAACTGGGAGCCGGGACAACGAGGGCAGGCCAGAAGCCCCAGAGATGTCCTGCTGTGGCCCCGGCCTTGGCCAGTTCCATGGGCCTGTAAATCCCCGGAGCAAAGCCCTTACTGGGTCTGCTGAGCCTGGTAGCTTTCTGGCTTGTAGGAACTGGGCATGCTTAGTTTATTCTGGGCAGCACGAGCATAAACAACACAGGGGCAGCGTTCAGTTCAGTAGGGCCACTGTGTCCTGCAGATGGGGTTGTAAGCAGGGAGGGAGCACAAAGAAGGGGCAAGGGGCACGAGGGAAAGGGGATCCCTCTCCCAGAACAGGAGCCCGCCCTCCAACCATTTTAGAGGCAGGCAAGGCACTCCCTGCCCTTGCTCCCTCCTCACAGCCACTGGCCCTTCCTGGTTCTGGGTGACCTCACCCCTGCCAGCTCTCTGCACAGCTCAGCCCAGGCCCCACTTCTGGTGCTGCCTTTTCCTTTCCTTTTATGCTCAGTCCTGGATTCCACCTGTGTGGACCAAGTCATGGTCTCTAAACTTGGAACACCAGAGGCTCATGCTGGGCCTCCCAGCGCACACAAGAAAATCAACAGGCCCGAGGCCAGGGCCAACATTCCACAGCCTGCCTGTGAGTCGGCCAATTTGGGTGGAAGAAAGAGACGCAGGCCCTGGTTGGGAGAAACATTCAGGGGTCTCCTGGCCAACTCGGCAGCCGGTGCTGGAGGGCCAGGGAGGGACCATCTGGAGTGGGGACAGAGCCAGAGCCGTGGGCAACACGGTGGATCCAAGCTGCTAGATGCATGAGTTATTTGCAAATGTAATTATTAGCAGAAGACTACAGCAATTGGGGAAGTTTCCAGAAGCTTCTAGAATTATTCACTCATTGCTACTGGTATGATTAGCACCTGGCTGGCTACCTCAGGGTATGAACAGTTTGTCACAGGGATGTTTCAATATGCCCTGTTAGGAGAATTAGCTACTGATACGCTTCACTACTTCTCATTGTGATTATTATTTGTTACTGAGGTCATAGCGACCAAGTCTTGTTTTGCTTTTCTCATCTTCAATCACCTAATCAAAGACCCACGGAATACAAAGAGGCCTGCAGCCCTTGGCTTGACTCTGGCTCCTCTGATTAACTGGGAAACTTAGCAACAGGGGAGCTGGAGCTCCCTCAAGTAAACGGAGCCCAGGAAGCAGGTGTCAGGATGCCTGAAACAAGATCGAAGAGCAGCCCCCTCCAGCGACTTATCAGTGGCTCATCTGCTGACGGCTTTGGAAGTTCTTGTGATTCGATTTCAGGCTTAACAGGAGAGGTTGGTACGATTACAAGAACTGTGAGCACCACAAAGGGCTGCAAGAGGCAGCTGGATCTCCTTAGTTATGCGGCCCACAACAGTGGGGTCAAGCAGAGGACACGGGCATTTAACCAGGCGAACCAAGCCTCTCCCCTCTGGCTTCTCAAAGGACCCTTCACCCAAGATGAGGTTAAGAACCACTCTGTTCTCCTGGGGCCTCTTGGCTGTTCCATAAGCAAGAGTCCAGCTCAGCCAGCACAGGCGCCTCCAACCTCCCCAACAGGGCTGCCTCTAGCTCCACCTTGGCAGCAAAAGTCCCTCCTCCCGAGCCCTGAGTGCAGGGAGTCAGGAAGGGGGCAGTGTCGCACCTGAAGGCCGGGCCTCTATGACGTAGCGGGTGATGGGCCCTTTTCCGGGGTCTCCGCTGGACCAGTGGATGGCGATGGCAGCGCTGTACCGCACGATGATCGGCACCCCGGGCGGTCCCGGTGCACCTGCAAACACCACACACAGTGGGCCAGGGGAAGCAGGAACCCAGAACGGTCACCCAGCCTGCCAGCCGGTGCTCAAGGACGGGGACTGGGTGACGAAGCCAGTTCCAATCAAAGAGCCTCCAGGACTCTCGCTGCAAGGACTGGGGTCTGAGAAGCCTGAAAGGTCCCCTACATCTCCAGGTGATGGTGTCAGACAGTGATGACCACCCTATCTCCTGCTGGAAATCTCCCTGCCCCAACTCCACTTGCTGTTAGATTAGGAAAGGAACCTCCAGGAAGCCTTGTTGGGGAGAGGAGGAAGGAGAGGGAGGGGATGGCAGAGGGGAAGGGGTGGTGGAGGGTGGGGAGGAACTGGCCGCTTGCTGGCTCTCCCGCGTCCAGCTAGCAGCCCGGGGTGTTAGCCAGGCGGGGAGCTAGAGTAGGAGATAGGAGGTTGCTTCTGTAGGTAGATCAGTAACACAGGTATCTGTCTACAGAGGGCCTGGGGCACCTTCTCTGCACAACGCCCAGCCACTGCATGCCTGGTGCCTGTTCTCTGGGCTCCTGCTGTCCCTGGGTCCCCACCTGGAGTGCTAGCGCCCACCATGCCCGCTTTCCCTCCGACTCGGAGCTCAGCATCCCCAGAGGCTAGCACTCAGTAAGTGCTTCCTGTGTGCCTTTGGGACTAGGGGAGGAGCCAGTGCGTGAGTGAGCTGCTGGTCCCTGGGGATGCCCGCTGGGGAAAGAGCTGGACACAGAGTCCTTCACTGCACCGAAGCTCCTCTGGGGCCCTGGAGAGCTGGTCAGCTGGGACAGGAGGGCAGGGACTCGTCATACAGCTGGGCAGCCCACCCCGGGCCCTGCATCCAGGCCTGCCCCTGTGCCCTTGTGACCCTGAAGTTCTCTCTTTCCTTTCTTCCTCCCCCAAGGAGCACGCTGCATGCAAGCCTGGGGAGGGGCTACGGCCTGAAAGAGTGGACCGGAACCCGGGTTCTTGCTCTGCACAGGACAGTACTCAGGGCTAAGAGAGGGGGCTCAGCATCCACCTGTTAGGGGGAGCACGGACGCCTGACTTCGTGTTCTCCCCTGCAGGCCCCTCCTTGCCCACAGCATCAGGGTGAGGTTTGTGCTTTCCGAGTGCCCTCCAGTCCTCCTGCAGCTTCCTGCCCTCCCTCAGCCTGGGATACTTGAAGCCTTAAGTTGGAACAGCATGTCCGCCCGCCCTCTCCTGTCCCCAAGCCTCCCCATGCCCTCCCTCGGCCTTCCAGCTCTCTTCCTGCTTTTGTTTCCCAGGGAAGTCTCAGATGAGAGGTAGCGGAGTGGAGCTGGGCAGGTGAAGGGCAGTGCTGGGCAGCTTCTGGCAGGCTTTGGGCCCTGTGGCTCTGTCCTTGGGGTGGCTGGGATCAGGTGAGCTTCTTTGTAGAACAAGAATGGGGAAAAGAAACTGACCAGGAAGGGAAAGCGAGGAGTGGCCAGGCACCCACACACCCGCTAGCAGGTGGGAGGCAGGGAGTCTACTGCTCTCCAGGCCCCCTCTCCTGCCAGAGCCCGGCCAGCCCAGCCTCCTGCAGACAGGAGCCTTTGTCCACTCCTGGCTGCTGAGGCAGGAGGGGAAGGAGGTGACCTTGCAGGGGACTTTTGAGATGGGCTGAGCACCTTTTCCTGGGAGATGGCTTTTGTGTTGGGGATGGGACAACCTGTGCCTGTGACAGGGAAGTTGATGGCTGAACCTTGACAGCCACACAGGCATGGGGAGGCAGGTGCGTGGTGCAGGAGGTGGGGTGAACCAGGAGGGCTTCGAGGATGGGCATTCACTGAGCCTTGAGGAAATACAAAATGACATTCCGCCTATAAGGGGGCTGAGCAAAGGAGGGACAGGACTGGGCACTGGGGTGGCTACAGGGCCCTGGCTGTGACGAAATTGCCCATTCCATCTAAGAGCGCCACTGAAGCCGTTCTGCAGGTACCAGGGTCTTTGGGATCAGTGCAGACTGCTGGGCCCATCAACCCCAGGGAGCCAGCGTCTCTGAGCGTCCACCAAGAGCTGAGGATGACTCTTCTGCACCTTGCTCTGACAGTCCAGATGAAGGGTGGTTCTGGGGCATGGGGAGAAGGCTCTGGCCAGGAACAGGTGGGGTTTTACCAACTGCATCCTTCCTGGGTGGAGGTGATGGAGGCCGGCACCATTACAGGGAGGGAAGGAAAGGAGCCAGTTGGGGCTCGGATCGAGCACCTGCCCAGCACATGCAAGGCCAGGCCAGGCTATGTGCGCTGGGTTGAGTGGTGAGAGGAGCGCTTGCCCCTGTAGCCTGAGGGTCCCACTGACCATGTGCAGACTGGGGAGCAGGGCGAGGGCGCTGTGGATGGGGACAGAGCAAGCTCCAGGGCATCCACTCGATCTCCAGGGATTGTGCAGTGCTTGACACCCGGGCACCCCTCTGACACAGGGCTGCAGGACTTGGTGCCAGGGGCAGCAGTGCACTGCTCGCCTACCTTCTCCGGGACCCGTGGTGACATTGGCTTCGATCTCTGGCCCGTAGGTGAAGGTCTTGGCTTTGATGCGGAACCTGTAGGTCATGCCCTCCGCCAGGTCCTTCACCTTTAGCCACAGGGGGCTGTTCCCCTTCACGTCCACGGTCACAATCTTGCTGACCCCTGGGGAGAAGCACAGTGAGCAGGGGCTCTGAGACCACTGGAGGCCGTGGGTGAGGCGAAGCAGCAGTGGCCTGAGGCCCCAGACGTGGGCCAGGGGCTTCACCTTGCTCCCAAGGCCGTGTTCTCCTCCCTGCTTCACAGTTCTGCAAGGTGTTCACAGGGAAGAAGATGACCGAAGAAGGTGACTGAAGAAGTTTGAGAAAGGCTATGTCCTGCCTGTTTCCTGAAGACCCACAGGGCCCTTTAACTCCTGGAGGAAGAAGCACTCACCACCCTACTGTACCCACATCCATTTCCCCCATTTCATTTACTTCTGTAAAGTCCTGAAGAACTCAAAATCTAGGCAAATCTTTCAGGAAGTACTTCTTCAAGTCTGGGGCAGATGGACACGCTGGTGACCAGCTCCAGCTCTTACTATTGGCCCCAACCCAAGCCCAACCCCTAGGCTGCCTCAGTTTTTAGTGCAGAAATGAGAACACTTCGTAGCCCAAATCACAGTTCACTAAAGGGTAGGCTCCTGAGACTTTCTGGAGGGTGGAGTATGTGCTTCCTGCCTCACAAACCCAGTCTCTGGTCCCCAGCTTTCTCAGGGGCTGGGCCTGGGTGTCTCCAGGCCTACCCTTTAGCCTGGAGTTAGCTCTCCTGCTAAGCCAGGGTATCAAGAGTGTCTCAGACAGGGACGCTGAGGTTAAATACAAAGACAGAGCACCCAGAACAGGGTAGGTATCCAATCTACTATTGAACAAGTGAATGGAAGAATGAGGGTGGCTTCATGGGAGCCAGGACCCTTGGTGCCTGGTCCTTGACAATGCTCAACAACCCTCATCTGTATGGGCTTCAGTTTTCCCCATGGAAAGGGGGAGCAGCTGGTCTGCATCCAGGGCTGAGGCATGAGCTGGGGCAGGCACCTGCTGGAAAGATGGGCATTATCTGCACTTATTAGCTGGGCCTCACAAGGAGGACGGCAGTCTCTAAGGGCGTGTGCAAACCCTGCTGGACCAAGGAGCTGGGAGACAAAGTGCTCACATCTCTTTAGGTGGAGACCACTGAGGTGAGAGCTTACCCAGCCCCCCTGCTTTCTGTCCTGGCCCCATTCCTGATCCTGCACCTGACCGGATCTCTTCCTGGGTGTCCTAACACCCAGGTCTACTTTGCAGGACAGGCTGCTGGCACTCAGGCGGTGGCAGGAAAAACTGAAGGCCATTGTTCCCTCTGCTGACCCAGAACTGCTGGCTGTGGAAACGTATCGGGGCCCCGCCCCTTGGCCTTGCCGGCCTCCGTTGTTGGGAAGGATGAGAGGAAGGGGAAGGGGAACGGTAAGTGACCACACTTCCTGGCACCAGGACACCCTGGTCGGCCAGCCACACAACAGCATCTTGCTGGAAATAGGCCCCGGGCAGTAAGTAGTCCAGTCCCTTCCCTGTCTCTGAGACCCTGTCCTCTTGAGACGACTGATGGTGACCAACTGGCAAGGATTTCTGGGTACTTTGCTCATGCTGGGCTGCCTCACGCCATCCCATAGCTGGGCATCCCTCTGGGGAAGAAAAGGGGCAAGTGTCTGCTGTCCACTGCTAAGGTCAGCAGGGCCCTACCTGGCAACCCGGAATTAGACCTGGCAGGGTCTAGCCAGGGCCTGGAGGGGTAGGGGCTGTGATGAGGGTCTGAAGATGCTCAGGTGAGCAGTGCTCGGGGTGCAAGAGGCATCATTTGCAGAGCTGGGATCTTGATTGAGGTTCACAGATACCAACAGGAGTACAGTGACCCCCAGACTTATACAGCTTCACAGCGAGCAGCTCCAAGGCTTTGCTTAGATTCTCAGGGGGTCCTGACCACTAAGAGGTAAAGAAAGACTAGCCTGGAGTAAGACCAGTGACCCTAAAGTTTGGGTGGAGTGTCAGGGCTGCCCCCTTCTTCAGGGTCCCCATAGAGACCTGGCCATCTTGGGGGCTATGTTTCGCTCAGATTTCACGGCTCACGTTGACAGAAGGGGAAGAATACATTTAAACATTCTCCTCTTAGAAGCTCGGAGACCTAGGTGGCTGCTGCATCTCTGCCTTCAATTCGCTGTGGGTCTGCCGTGGAAAAGTGTCTTCCTCGGTCTGGACCTCAGTTTTCCTGGGCAGCCTCTCAGTGCCTCTCACTCATGTTCAGGGACTATGATGGGGACCCTGGAAGGGAGCAAGCCCTTGCTAGGTGAGGGACTAGGGCGTCGAGGGACGGGGGCCACTCACCGTCCACTGGTGTGCAGGGCTCGTACACCAGCCGATAGCCCTCCAGGATGCCGTTGGGGAACTGTGGGGCTTCCCAGGACACGTTCACTGAGGTCGTGGTCAGCTCGCTGAACTTGACCAAGCTGGGGGCACTGGGGGCTGTGGGAGACAGCGAAGGGTTTTTGTTTCCTCCTTCTGTGAAGGTTCACAGCCTTGGGTTTGGCTCCAAGAAACTAACAGGGTTATCTAGGTCTGGGCCCAGGAAGAACAAGAGGGCAGGGCTCAGCAACGAAGGCAGGAGGGGTTGCTGGAGGCCCTCGGAGCCCTTATCCTCCTCCCTTGACGTCCTTAGCACTCAGCTTTCCAGTATAGAGGCCTTGGAACTGGGAAAAAAGGAAACTTTATTTTTCTCCGCAGTGGGAGAGTTTGGACTTTAGCCTGGTACAATGGCTCTGAGCCCTGGCTACCAGCATGGGACAAGCCACTACACCCCCAGAGTCACCGCGGGGCAAGGCCTGTTCGTGGGGTGGGTTTTTCTTGTCTGCTCCCCTGGAGGAGACCAGGGCATGCTTTCGGGAGGGGCCACAGTCAAGGGCAGCCTGGCCCTCCGGAAGAGAAGATTTCACGGACCAAAAACCCTGGAGCGACCCTGAAAACATGGGGGCAGTGGCGGACAGAGGGGAAGGGCAGGAAGCGTCCCCCTCCGTAGCCCTGAGCTGGCCAGGAGATGGCCAAGCTATTATTGTCCGGCGCAGCCTCCCTGCTGAGCCGGAGCTAATCTGGACCTGTTTCCGGCCCTACTCCAGGAGGCAGCATCAGCGAGCAGTCTTTTAAGGAGGAAGCTGAGCTTAGGGCCCCCTTCCTCCCTCCCTCCCTGGCTAGAGGGATGTGGGACAGAACACTCTGTGCTGTGGTCACCCCGATGGAAGCTTCCAAGCCTCCCCGGGGCTCGTATCTGGCTGATGACACGGGACAGAATGTGGTCAGGACAGACAGACTCACATTCAGATGTGCAGGATGAGCTCAGCCTCAGCCGGACCCTGGGGAGTCACGGGAGGGACAGGTTTCCCTGGAGCCAGGGTTCGTTCCCAGGGAGGACCACAATTAGAAACTGGCTCCTGAGCAGCTCTTTCAGAGCCATACATGACCCAAGAAGGGAAGCAGCAGGTAGGAAAAGGTCCCAGGGAGGCCAGGGCAGAGGCTGGGTACTTGTCCTTTGTGTTCACAGGCACTGGTCCCAGGATCCCCTCCAATGCCAACATCCTGTCCTGCTCAAGGCCCCTCTGTAAAAGCTGCGTTTGCCCCCGACTTCCTGTATGCTTCAAATCGCCTCAAATGCGGCGTAGATAGTTGTTACACTGCCTCACTTAGAAAACAATGACGAGGAAAAAAAAAAAGTCTGCACATGTTGGACATAGCTGCAATTTTTCTGGAATATTCTGGAGCCACAGTTGGTTAAATCTGCCGATGTGGAACCCAGATACAAAGGGCCAACCTGTTTGCATCTCCAGAGAGAGATCACTCTTGGTTCTCTCAGAAGTCCGGGCTGCCAGCGTCTGCTCTCCCACGACCTGTGGAGGACTCTGAGGAAGAAGCACGCTTCCCCAGGTGACCCTCGCTCATTGGAAAATGGACATGACCAGGGGACCCAGCGTGCTGCCTTGGACATGCTGCAGGGCTTGCTTTGCACTGGCTGGTGGCAGAGTATTTACCTTTGCTTTGCTTTACCCTGCCCAGCGTCCGGCCTGGCCTCCCTGCCCTCAATTCTCAAAGTAATTATTTTCCAAAACATAAACCAGATCCGGCTGCTTGGCTCCTTACACCCTGTGATGGTTTCCCATGTCATCTGACCTTAATCCCAATCCTCCAGACCCTTGGAGACCTGAGTTTCACCCTGTTTTCTGGTGAGTCCCCGGCTTTCTCTTGTTCCTTCAATGCCCCCAGCCTCCAGACCTTGCACCTGCTGCTCTCAGGCCGGAACCTGCTCCCTGCCTCCAGAGCTTCCTGCGCTACGGGCCTCCAATTCAGCTCAGATGTCACCGTCCGCGAGGCTTTTGTGCAGACCTGTCTGAAGCCAGGCATCCCCAGGCCCTCCAGCCACCGCCCTCAGATCTCTGGTCCTCAGCTTCACTACGGCTAACTTGTACCTGCTGGTCTGTGATCCGAGTCCCTCCCAAAGGGAGGGCGACCGCATCGGTCTCGCTGTCTGTTAGGTCCCTAGCATCAAGCACAGTAAATAATGGTGGAATGAATAAAGGACCCTGGAGAGACAGCAGAAAGGAATGGGGCCAGGCAGGCAGTGAGAGAGGTGGCTGTCCACAAGGCCTGCTGTCTGGGGCAAGAAGGAGGGGACAGGCGAGATCTGGGGGCTTTCTCAGAGCCCACGTGGGCAGCGAAGCATTCAAGTCTAGGCCCTCTTTGTGGGCTGCAGCTCCCACTCTTCCGGCGTCTCATGGGGGCCCAGGCACCAAGGCCAGGTGCTTGGAGAGATAAAGCAGCTGCTTCCACTCCCTCCAAAGACCCAGATGCCAAGTGGGTCCTGTCCCCAGCTGGCAGAGTTGCCCCTCCACACCTGCTTGCTGCGTCTGGCCCCGGACAGGGGTGCTCCGTGGCCCGTCCCCTGCGGCATTGAAGGCCGCTACGCTGACCATGTAGGCAGTGTAGCCGGTCAGGTTCTTGAGCTTCACACCGTTCTCAGCCAGGAAAAGCGTCTTCACTCGCTCAGTAAGGTTCTGCTGCTGGGCTTCCCAGAAATAAATCTGTGGGCAAAGAGGATTAAGGGAATGAGGGGGATGAAGACACGGGGCTTCCCTCCCGCCCCTGCCTGACCCAGGAAACATTATAGAAGTATTCAGGAGCTGTTCTAGGAACCCTTCCAGAATCTTCCTTTGCACAGCCAAGGCTCCAGCCTCTGAGAGACTAAATGCCACAAGGGACAGACCCCGTGTGTCCCAGTGTGCTGTGGTGCCTGTGGTGTTAGCACTGGCTCATGAGTTTAGAGATAGATGCTGCAAGTTTCTGTCCTGTGGGAATCTGAGCTGGGGGTGCAACAGCTGTGTCACTTCACCTGCAAACTGGGAAGGACAGAGTCTCAGCCCCCAGGCCCGCTGCAGCTGCAGCTGCAGGCTAACAAGTCCTCCGGTGATGCACATGCGCACTACAGTTAGCAAAGACCATTGCAGAGGAAGGCCTGGGTTAAGGCGGCAGGAGGCCTGGGCCTGGTTTCTGGCTGCATCCTTTACCAGCAGTGTGACACAGCCAGGTGACTTCCCTGAGTTGCAGTTTTGTTATGTACACAGTTAAGGAGAGTCACTTCCCAGGGTCAAAGTGAAGGGCAGAGGACACAGGGACAGGAGAATATGGCTTTGTTTCTCACAGGGATTTGGCTGGCTTCGAAGGCACCTTGTGCCTGCAAAAGATTTTAGGTGAGGGATGCAGCAGATGCAGTGAATACAAGACTTTTGTATCTAGCAGGGGTTAACACACTCCCTATTATCCACACCTGGGAGATTCTTAAATTAGTTTAGGACTTGAAACTAAGGCCATCCTGATAGTTGAAAGTGTCTCAAAGCACCTGGAGCATTGGAGATCATTTGGCGCCACCTGCTGGCCAAAGAATTATCTGTAAATTGTTGGCTCTTCTCCAGAGGAAGCCATTAAGAGCGAGCAACAGCCCATAAAAGTGCCTTCCCCTCCCATGTGAGAGGCGGTTAGGACATCTTGTTATCATGAGAACCTTGCTTTACTTTTTTTTTGCAGATTGTTCTCAGAAAGGCAGATGAGTGAGCACTGAGGTGGTCACTCACTCACTCACCCATCCATTCACAGGGTAGGGGATGCAGTCGGGGTTCAGGGGAAAGGTAAGGGCCATGTCAGAGGTCGGCAAGCCATCTGCACAGAGGTGGTACTGGGGGAGCACGCACCAGGAGGACAAAGGTCTCTCAGACAGAGGCCATGGATTGATTTGGGGGCCGGTGGCTTTCAGTGGCTAGAAAGGAGCTAGAATGGAGAGTGAAAGGCCCAGCAAGCCAGGGAGGTGAGGGAAGAAAGCATTCCAGGGGTAGGGAGTGAGTCACTGTATGCAGTGCTTTGGGGCAAGACCTCTGCCATTTGAGCACCAACCAACAGGGATGGAATGATCAGTCAGTAGTCTTGGAAGGAAGGAAGTGCCTTTGGGGACAGCAACCTACTTCAGGTTTATCAGGGAATAAGAAGGGAGGAATTGGAGGAAAGGATTCTTTTTTTTTTTTCCTTCCCAGTACTGAGAAGTGAATCCAGGGTCTTCATACTGAACTTACATCCCCAGCCCTTTTAAAATTTTGAGACAGAATCGTGCTGAGTCCCTTAGTCACTTAAAATGGGCTCCAATTTAAAGTCCTCCTGCCTCAGCCTCCCAGAGTGCTGGGATTACAAGATGTGTTCCACTACACCTGCAAGAGGCAGGAATTCTTTTGAGAAACTCTGCTGTAAAGGACTCAACCACAAGGAGTGGTGACAACCGAAAGAAAATGTGAGGTCAGGAAAAGTCACCGAAAGAGGGAACATGTTTAGAATATATTTATGTCATGCCTGTGGGTGATCGTAAAAGTGGCAATGCAGGGGAATGAGGGTCAGTGGCCAGAGCCTTGCTCTTAGGCAGGTCAGGTCAGGGTGCAGGACCAAGGGCACCTTGTATATACAAACAAGGCACTCATGGCAAATGTGTCAAACTCGGCAGACTTTTGCTCACGGCTAATATACAGTAAGAGGGACTTGTGCAAAGTGCACAGAGGGACTCGGAGCTAAGTAACAGTGCTCACCAATGGGTAACTGGGTGTGCACCAGGAGGCCCACTCGTCCTGGTCCATTGGGTGCTCAGAGTCAGGCATGGCGTGTTTTTGGTGCTCACTAAACATTTGCTGGAGCAATACCTTAGGTAGACAGGGGCTGACGGAGGAATGTATGATTACAATCACCACTTTCCTTCCACTATTGTCAATTCCCTGCCACTTTTTAAGATTTACTGAGATATAATCAACAAATGAAAATAATAGCTTTACTGAGGCATAGCTGACAAAAAAAAAAATCACCTATATTCAAGGTGTCCAAGTTGGTGACATTGATCACCATGCTGAAGATAATGTACCTATCCATCACCTCACAGTTACCCTCTATTTGGGGTGAGAAAGAATGGATGATTTGTCCTCTTAGCTAGTTTCAGTGGACAGCGGGATTGTCACCTACTGTCACCATGCTGTACATGAGTCCCCAAACTCACTCGGCTTCTATACCTGAAACTTTGTTCCTTTTGGAGCAAGTGTCCCCATTTTCCCCAGCCACGCCCTACTCTCTGTGTCTATGAGTTTGACTATTATGTTTTCCTGCCTCACTGATGGTGATGATTCTAAATTCTATGTATCAATGAGATCACACAGTATTTGTGTTTCTGTCGGAGGCTCATTATCGCTTAATGCGACATCTTCCTGGCTCACGTTGTTGGGAATGTCAGCATTTTTCTTCTTTGTAAAGGCTGAACAATATTCTCTTGAGTATACACATGCCCCTGACATTTTCTTTGTCCATTTGTCCACTTACAAAACGTTCAGGTTGTTTCCGTATCTTGGCTATTGTGGATTATGCTGCAACAAACATCTCCAGGTTCTGATTTCAGTACTTTTGGATAAGCACTCAGAAGCCAGGAGGCTGGGTCATAGGGTAATTCTGTTTTTATTGTGTTGAGGACCTTCCATATAGTTCTCCACAGTGGCCACACCTTTCTACATTCCTGCCAAAGCATACAAAGTTTCAGTTTTTCTATATCACTTACTGTCTTCTGGATTTCTGTAACAGCTTTTGTCACAGGTATGAGGTGACACATCATTGTGGTTTTGATCTTCATTTTCCTGATGAGTAATGCTGACTACCCGCTGACCATTTATTTGTTTTCTTTTGAGAAACGTCCATTCGGGTCCTTTGTCCTGCTTTTAAATTGGGTTGTTTTCTCACTATGGACTTTCATGAACTTGTTATGTCCTTTGGCTATTAACTCTTTATCAGATGCATGGCTTGCAGATATTTCCCACTGTTCTATAGCTGGTCACCTCACTGTCGACTGTGCCCTTTGCTATGTTCCTGTCCTGTCTTGCTCCGTCTTACACATCAGGCCTGAACTCTCACATTGGTGGAATCTGCCCACAATAAACACAGCTAACTGGCCTGGAGGGCAATCAGACTTCAAATTTAGGAGCACAGCCCGGAGTGGGAGGACACTGTGCTACACCGCTCTTGTCCAGTACTGCACAACTGCACACAGCCATCCCTGTGTCCTCAGGAGGTGGGGGCCGCACAGAATGTATGCATTCCTCCCAGATATGTGAAACCACCTCTAGAGTACTGAGAATCACTCATGCAATGCAAGTGCAATGTAAGTAGCTGTCACACTGTATTGTCTAAGGAATAAGAACAACAAAGTGTGTACATGTTCAGTACAGATGCATTTTTTTTCCCCAGTGAATAGTTTTGATCCTCACTTGGCTGAACACACGGGTGAGGGGCCGCCTACAGATAAGAGGAGGACTGTGGCTGTTTGATACATTCTTTTCCCACTTCCTGTGTCCTCGCTCTCATTCCCAGTGAGGACCTGCCCTGGGAAAGGGAAGCGATCGCTGAGACTGTCACCTCCCATCCCTCTGCCCATACCTACCCACCTCCCTCTTGCCAACCTGGCTGAGCTCTCCACTCCCTTTAAGGTCACCTTGAATCTGTGTGCTAAATTACACTCTCCTCACCTACTCCGACTTACTGCCCACTGTAGTCTCCTCTCTTTCCCAAACCCCCAAACACTCCCTCCCTGCAGTATTGTTTCTATTGGCACAGAAACAAATCATGATTTCTCCCATCCTAAAACACCCTCTGCTGGTCGCAAGTCTTTTCTCTTGAAACTGCCCCATGCTTTTACTGATCAGTACCCACCTCCCCATTGAGCCCTGTGAACTCCACATTACTAATGCAATATCCGGAGCTCTGAAAACTGCTTCTGGGAAGGGATGGGTAGTTCTTAGGCTTTGCAGGGCAGCCACTAAGTCTCTTTTGCAACTACTCAACTCCGCCTGTGTGTATGTGTGTGTGCGTTACTGGAGATTGAAGCTGGACGCTACCACTGAGCTATATCTTCAGCTCTATTTCTGAGACAAGGGTCTTGCCAAGTTGCCCAGGCTGACCTTGAACTTGTGATCCTCCTGCCTCAGCCTCCTGAGTAGCTGGGATTACAGGCGTTCATCACCACATCCGGCTCAACTCTACCCTTGTGCAAAAGCAGCCAGGGGCAACTCATAAACATGCATGGGCGTGTCCTCATTTTTTCAAAAAGATGGAAGGCTGGTTAGGTCAGTGGGCTGCAGTGTGCCAATCCCCCTGCTTAAGTAAATTGTTGGTCTTGATTTTAGAATTTTAGCTAGAGCCAATCAGGGCCTGCAAAACTAGATCGGTTGTAGGTTTCTTTGAGCACCCGGCATAACTGCTTCCCAGACTGCATCCCGCTCCATCTCTCCTGGGAGACAGCAGTCTGACTCCCTCTTCCAGAAGTCCTCCCTGGGGCGCTGAGTCATCCTCACAGCGCACTTGCCTCAGTCCCAAGGCTCAGGTTGCAGACTCCGTCCACTGCCTGCCTGTCTACTCTAGGCTCTTGGCACCGTCTACACTCCAAGGAGGACTTCACAGTCCACAGCCCTGGCTCAGCCCTTCCCTCCTGACCTCTCACAGCAGCTCCGGCTCGGTTCTGTGCTCTAGGGCACCCCACGTGGAGTCAGCTCTGCCCCGGTTTCCTCCTCCTCTTCCAGCCTCAGAACTGGTGGTACTACTTCCCGTGGCCCCTTAACCTGTACCCGAATGCGACTCTTGCTCTCTGCGGCTGTTTGAACCACTTCTAGGCAGCTGAGGTCACACCTGTATGACTCAGCTGCCTCAGCTTTCTGTGGTTCCCCACTTCAGACTACACGTAGCACTGCGACCAGAGTGAGCCTGTGAAAGTCCGAGTCCTCTGTGTCTCTCCCGACTCCCAAGTTCTCCCTCAGAGTAGAAGCCAAAACCCCTGAGTGCTCTTGGTGCTCTGGCTGCTCTCTGCCCTCCTGTCACGCTTCTCCAAGGTGAGCGGGGGCTTTTTCCTGCCTTGTCTACACCCGAAGGCACTGATCTACCTCAGGATCTTTGCTCTTCTTTTCCCTCTTTCCGGAATGTTCTTCTGGAGCATGTAATTCATGCCCTGCATTTATGTAGGTTTTTGCTCAAATATCACCTTCTCATTTAGCTCTTTTCTAACAACTCTATTTAAAAATTCAAGCCTGCATCTAGCTCTCCGCTCATCGGCTTCGTTTACCCCACCATCTGGCAGTATGACTTACTTTGTAAATTAATTTCCCTCTCTGAAATTTACGCTCATGTTGTCTCTTTGCTCACCGCTTTACTCCCACACTGCGACTAGTGCGGGGCACAAAATAACTACTCAATAAACACGTGTCACTGAATAGCGGAGAGGTGGGACTCTTGGGTTGTGCGTTGTGCCTCCCAGGTTCACCTCCCGGCTGTGGCTCTGTCTGGGTGCTGCTTTCTGGACCCCACAGCTCTTCCCGTTTGGTACGGTGCCCACGCATTTCCTGGGTCTGTATATTAACTCGCAACTTTCAAACCTCAACAGTCTGGTGGTTGCCAAGGATCGCAGGCTCCGCCCGGCGCCTTCCCTCCCTTAGGAGGCACAGCTAGCCCACAGTATTTAGTTTTCCCAGTTGCTGCTCCTTTACAGAATCTCTGTGTTGTAGGGGCGTCCGTCTTCAGAGCTTTCTTGACAAGATGTCTCCTCCTTCCCATCCTTGCTTCCCGGATGCAGGAAACACCTGGACCAGACCCTCCCTTCAAGGGGCTGCCTGTCCCAAGAGGCTGTGTGCCAAGCACACGTTTCGCCTCTGCTGAGAAACCACAGGTCCTTGTACCACTACAGCCCAGCCCTGAGGCCGCTGCTCGAGGCCTGTCCTCCTGAATAACATCCGGCCTCAGGGACACTGGCTTGGGTGGGGAACTGTGCTCCAGCAAGCACGACAAGCTCCTCTTTCTTTCTTTTCTTATTTTTTGATTATTGTGCTGCTGTGGAATGAGCCCAGGCCTCCAAACAAAGCTATGTTCCCAGCCTTCTTTAATATTTAAAAAATTTTGAGACAGGGTCTTGATAAGTCACTAAGTGGCCCAGGCTGAGCACGAACTCATGAACCTCCTGCCTCAGCCTCCCAGAGTACTAGGATTACAGGTGTGCACCACCAATCCAGCTTCCTTCTTTCTTACAGTTCTCTAGCGACTGTGTGCTCAGCGCCCCGCCACCAGAAGGTCTGCTACCTGCTATTTTGTGGCCTTGCCAGGCTACCTAAGCTGGGTCTCAGTTTCCTCATCTGTATAACAGACCACAAAGCCCATATCCTATAGCTCAAAATGGCTTTCAGAAGGACGGAAGAGTTCTGGAGAGTTGAACTGTACCCTGTCATAACACACAACTTCACCCAAAGTCGTGGTTTTAAGCAGAGATTTCCAATGACAGCCATCTAGTCAGTATCAGCGTTGCAACCAGGGGGCGCCCTTGGAGGGGCCTCAAGTTGTGTAGGGTGCTAACATTCATGGGCTGGAGTGTGAGCTGCCCAGGGGGGTCATGAGCCAAAGCACACAAAGTATCTGGCCTCTGAGCCCAGACCGCCTGGAGCATAAACTGGGTACACAGCCAGAGCAGTGGCTCACAGCGGAGCCCGCAGCAGACTACCTGGCCAGGAGGAGGAAAAACCTAAGAGCCCAGCCAGCTCCGCTGCACCCCTTGCTCCACCAGAGCCCCAGTACCTTATAGCCTTGGATGTCTCCATTCTGGCTGTCCAGAGGGGGTGGCTCCCACGTCACATCCAGCTGTGTGGCCGTGGCGCTGTGGACGGCCACGTTCTGGGGTGCTGCTGTGGGCACTGAGGGGCGCGGAGGGTGGTGAGTGAGTAGACAGCAGGGGCCAGGGTGGGACAGAGACCTGAGCCTCCCCTCTCCCCCAGGTGGATGGAGTGGGACCCGGGCAGCACTCACCGGCCTCCCCGACGAAGACCTCCTGCGGGGGGCTCAACGGCCCCTCACCCACGGCGTTGTACACGCTCATCCGGATCTCGTATCGCCTGTGCTTGTTCAGGTCTGTGGGCGAGAGTGGGGAGGAGGGTATAGCGGTCACTGCCCTGTATTTGGAGCCCACCGTGGAGAGCAGAGAGGCTGTGGAGAGGGGCAAGGTGGTCCTGCGGCTCCGATCCCCGTGTAAAGGTTCAGCAGAAACCATGTCAGAGTGGTGCCCAAGAAGGACCCTCAGGCTCCCTCCTGACAACCTGGACACACGAGACACTGCTGTCGGGTGACTCCCCACCCCCAGCTGGGGTGACCATGGGATTTATTGACCGAAGGGACGCTGCTGGCATTCACGCTGGGACACCTGGTGTAAACCCCAACTGTCCTAGGGATCCCGGCCAGACAATCAGGCCCTCCCTGCCTGTCTTCTCCACCAGAGCGGACGCCGGCGTTCCCAGCCTTGTCCCAGCCTGTCCGCGTTAACCAGCTTTTATTTTTTAATTTAATTTTATCTTTTTCGTTCTGGAGATTGAACCCAGGGACTCTTGGGTGCCCCCCTCCCCGCATCAGCAAGTTTGGGGTGCTTGGGTGAGGACGCCTGAGAGAAGCTGGAGAAGGGAAGTTGCTCAAGGAAGGGGTCCCAGTCACTGCAGGTGGCAGGTACAGTCCTCGCTCCGGGAGAGCCCGACTGGAAGGGGAAGGGCCTGGACCTTCCCCACCACCCGACCCCAGTCCGGCTCCTTGCCCCTCTGCACCCTTCGCTTGGGCAAAGCATCCTGTACTTTGTAGCCCTGGATATTTCCATTCTGACTGTCCAGAGTCCCCCACCTTCTGCGCCCCATCTCCCTGGCTCCTTACCCTCCTTCTTCCCTGGGGTGCAAGCTCTAGCCTTGGACAGGATTCAGTAAGGGAGCTGCCCTAGCTGGTGGTCTGTGCAGGCTGGGTGTGCTGGCTGAGCAGGGGAGGAGGTGGCTAGTTTAGGCTTGAACTCATGCGGCTTTTTCCTGAGTGGAGGCCTCTGAGCTGAGCCCTGGGCTGTGGGGAGGACCCACCGGGGCTTCAGAAATAGAGCAAGGGCGGGGGAGCTGCATAGGAGCGCGCTATTGGAAGACCAGGAGGTCGTGCAGAACTGCCCAGGGCTCAGTGCAGGAGTGGCCTTGGACAGGGAGACGCAGCTGGGCCGGGCCGGACCTTGGGTTTGGCGAGACGGGCAGGAGCTACGCAGATGCCCGGCTGCCCACCTGTACTGCAGACCGGCTGTCATTGTACCCTCTGCACCCCACAGGAGGCTTGGAGGAGACTCTGGAAGCTGCCCCTGCTTGGTGCGCTTGTGTCCTATGTCAAGGCCACCCCTGAGGTGGGGACAGGTATCCCCAAGGACCCACTCCTGTTCTCCAGGAGGCTTGGGCTGCAGTGGGGCCATCATGCAAGGAGACTTACTGTCCAGCTCGTACTGCGTGAGGCTGGGCCGGCTCAGGTTCCGCGTGGAGTACAGGGCTGGGGTGGGGAAGTGGGAGGCACCAGAGGGAAAAAGCAGACAGAGGCACTCAGTGCACACGCAGCCCCCCAGAGAAGCCCCCCTGTGGGTGTGGAAAGATGGGGTCACAGGGAACCCCTGGGAGCCCAGGAGTCCTGGGGATAACTCTGAGAGGCCTTCTAGTCCCAGTTCACTCCCCTGTCTCCAGGTGGAAGCCTTTAGAAAACCACCAGGAAATACTGGAGTCATTAATTTCCTCATATGAACCAGAAGCAATTTTACCACCAGGAAATATGACTGTACTATACACTGGCTATATAAAAGCACAACCACAAGCACATGTCAGCCA